ATGCCCCTTGAGTAAATTGGGAGCATGGGACTGTTTATTTCTCTCTCTCTCTCTCTCTCTCTCTCTCTCTCTCTCTCTCTCTCTCTCTCTCACACACACACACACACACACACATTAGGATATAAACAAGAACCTAAAAAATAAAAAAACAACAATAATAAAATAAAGTTAAAAAAATAAAAACAAGCAAACCAGAATAGGACAAAACAGACAAACAAACATAAGAAAAAGAGCTGAAGAAGAAGCTCGAGAAACACACACATTCCCACACAGAGAAATCTCATGTGGCCGTCTCTTAGCTGCACAGCAGTGCCCGCTACTCACCATGGCCGTCTCTTAGCTGCACAGCAGGGCCCGTACTCACCATGGCCGTCTCCTGGCTGCACAGCGGTGCCCACTGCTCACATAGCTTTCATTGCACATTCTGCAATCACAGTTGTTGACCAATGATATCTGAAACTCCAAAAATTTTAAAATATAGTTCTTCCCTAGACAGGAAGGATTGTAGCCTTTTAGGGGACCCAGGTGCTATACCAAAAAACAAGTTTCCAAATGGTTTGTGTCTACACTCATCCAAGAGAAGACTGAGTCTCCCTCTCTCTGCAGCCATTAATTGCCTGTAGGTCTTCATCTAGGGGCGGGGAACTTGGGAGACATCCGCCATTGACGCTGGCATGTCACCTGGTCTTACCCATTGTGCAAGTCTTGTTTAGGTGACAGTATTGTTGAGATTTCATGGGTGCAGCTTCCCCATCAAATACAGAAATCACTGTCTCACAGCAGATGTCTTAGTGTTCTTGTCCTTGGAATCTTTTCACTCCCTCTTCCATGAAGCTCCCTGATAAGTGTGTCACATCCAGTTGTTCTCTGTATCTTGTCCAGTTGTGGATTTTTATAATGGTCTGTCTGCTTCGTTTAGGTGTGTGTGTGAGGGCTGTGCTTAACAACTATTTCTCAAAAGAGATGCACAGCCCAGAAAATATCATGCTATAAATCTCACCCTGTTCTAGCTATAGAACATTTATTGATGACATTCATGCTAGACTGAAGATAAGGTAGCCTTAAATGAGAAAGGAAAATATGCATGAGAATAAACACACACACACACACACAAAGTATATCAAGTATTAACTTGCTCTCATTCATGGTTACTAAATAAAGGGAAGGAGTGAGTACATTAGCCTTGGTTTTATTCTCAGTCCATTTTTTTACACTTTTATATGTAACTAACCAGTGCTGGCACCTGATGTTATGTTAGCTTCGAATGGCCTCTCTGACTTCTAATGTACCGCACAATGATCCTAAGTCCTGTCAGCGCTTAGGAATTACTTGAGAAGATTTTGAAAACTGCTGTGGTCTGAGTCATTCTTAGGCCAATAGGATTAGAAGCTCATAAGCAAGACCCAGTGGACCCCGTCCTCTAAGGCCCTCCCACATGGCTCTCTTGTGCAGCCAGGATTGAGGAGTCTTTGTCATCTTGATTCTCATGAGCAGTGCCTAGCATTGCCCATCAAGAGCTCAGAGACAGCACAAATCACAGTAAACACTCTTCCTCCTCACCCAGCATTTGTGTTTCAACAGTTTCCAGGCCTTAGTTGCACCCTCTCCAACCCCGTTACAGCAATGTCAAATCCTATCTGACCCAGCTTAGTCATCCTGACTCCAGAGCCCAGGCTTACCACTGTTGGACCGTATCTTCTCCTGGAAACAGAAGGAAACCAAAACATTTCCTCTTAGAACACTGACATTTATTGGACTGAAGAATATTCAAACACAGAGAAACTCTCCGCCTTTCTCCCTTCTGCCTTATGACAGGATATTAATCACTCTTTACAGACGACGGTTTATCAGCTCCGAGCCAGGAGCCAGCGGGAATGGCAGACAAGCCTTGCTTCACTGAATTCTTCCATATATTTGATCCCCACAGTTTCCTTGTCTTTAGTCATTCTCTTATGTCTGTCTCTACCCTGAGATTTATTACCCTTTGTTTGCAAAGTATAAAAGCATCTTGGTTTGGACAGTTTTCCGGACTTTACAGTCTTGTGGAAATTTCCCAGAGACACAAAGTTAGTAAAACTGGTGTGCCTCATCTCTTGTTAATCTGACTTAAGTTAATTTATAAACATAACTAAAGGTCCTGGGTCAGAGAGAGCTGAGGTGAAGTAAGAGAGGTGAGTTCTCTCCCGCTCACACTCCTAATGACTCAGGATGCTCTGAGGAGATATAGCCAAGGGACATCCCAAACACTACACAAGTCTTTTCTCCAGCTCCTCTTGCTTCCTTTTCTCTATTTCTTATTTATCAATAGCTTTATGGAGATCTACTCTCTATCCCACCACTTAAGGTATATCATTCAATGGCCGTTAATATATAGTCAAAGAGTTTCATAACCATCTTGGCAATCAGTTGGAGGCCATTTTAATCATTCATCAAGAAAATCTGGACCCATTCATGATCTCTATTTCTCCTCAGCCATTCAAGCCCATGGCAACAGATAATCTCCTATTTCTGTGATTTTTTTTTATTTTGGAAATTTAAGTAAAATCATTCCAAATGTGATTTTTTTCAGGACTGAGTTTTTTTCATCTCTTAGGTTTTGAAAGTTCACTCAAATATGAGTGTGTTTGTGCTTCCTTCGTTATTCTACTGTGTGGACATAAGAGCTTTGCTTGCCCATTCATAAGGGCAACAGACATCGGGTTGTTTCCATTTGTTGACGCTTACACTGAGCGAATGGCAACTCCATGTTTAACCTGATGAGTAACAACCAGAAAGTCTTCCAAAGCAGCTGCATGGTTTTCGATTCCTGACAGCAACAGAGGAGGGTTCCAGTTTCTCCACATCCTCGCCAGCACTTGTCATTGCCTGAGCTATAAAAGCTGTGGAAATGCACAGGCACTTTGGTAATACAGTTTTTGGAACCTGAATTCACTCTGATCTGGCAGTTGCTTTTCTCATGATCCATTGCTCTTCTGTTGTAGGACTCGACATTGGAGCATTTGGGTTTAGTCCAAACAGCTACCAGAGAGGTGAAGACTGAGCACAGTGGAGGCGACATGAGAATCGGGAGCGCTGATAGTGAATTAAGAAGCTGGAGAGGAAGGTAGATGGCTATGTATTTATTACCTACTTTCCACGTGTTAAACAATTACTCTTCCAGCAGTTAGAAGATAACCATTTTGTGGCTGAGAAAAACAAAGTTAAAAAAACAATGGTAACTTGCCTCCATTTTTACAGGTAGAACATTGCACAGAGAGACTTGAATGAATTAGTTTGGTTCTCTTACTGAGGAGATTAGATTACCCCAGGTGCTTTAAGAGTCACAGTAGCACCAGGGACACTGCCCAGAGCCCCAAAGATAATGGGGCTCCGTGAGAGAGCCTAATGACCTTGCATCAGGTTTTCTCCATTTTTTCCCTCTGCTTTAGATCAGATGAATCTCTGCTGTGGAGGTGCTCCAGCATGTTGTGGGACTTGGAGCCTCACGCCTGGCCTCTCTCGTTAAGATTTCCATAGCATTTCTATTGCCTCCACTGAAACAACCAGAAGTTGTCAAAAGTCTCCTGGGGTATAAAATCGTCTCTGGTTGAGAATCACTGAGTTAGATGACACCTGTAACCTTTGTTTTTATCATTTGTAAGATGGGAGATAGTCGTAGTGTTTGTCCGTCACCATGAGACTGTTCTGAGAGGGGACCACTACAGTAATACACAATCAACCAAAACGTAAAGCTGTGAAGCCCAGGCCCAGTGGGTAGATCTACCAAACGTTCCTGCACCTAAGGCTCAGGGTACATTGCTGGAAAGGGGGGGGGGGAGGGGGGCAGAAAGATTGTGAGAGACAGAGAACCAGAAAGTTTTCTGTGATAACGTGTCTCCTAGATTGTCAGATGTGACACCGGTGAAATCTCGACAGTGTGACTGCTCACATGTGAGATGAACAAGGACAACTACAACAGACGTGCAGAGTGGACAGAGGAAAGCCCACGAGGCCCGTACAAGGTCCTACTGGCAACCAATGAGCAGTGAGAGCAGGAGAAATAGTCTTCCCCAGGGAAGAGCACACTGATTGGTTATCCAGTACTAAATGGTCAGCCCTGAAAACATACGTACAAATAACATTATTCAGACTGAGCAGGTTATATGAAGGAATATGTGTATACATAAAAATATTGCATGTACCAACAATTTTGAAAAGAGGTGATGAATTTGAAGAGAGCAAGGCAGTATACATGGGAGGGTTTGGAGGGCAGAAGGGAAGGGTGAAAGAGTGTAGTTTTAGTATAATCTCAAAAAGAAAAGAAAAAAAGATTGCTCTGAGAACCTTATTAAATCATGGTCTTTCTAAGACTTCACAAACTGTATAGCTTGATAGAAATGAAAGCTGGCATCATGACTTCCGAGAAATACTAGGCACTGAGGTTAAGGGCATCATCAAGCAAATCAGGGTACCAAGCATCCCTAGGGTTCTGCAGTGCAGCTGGGCATCCTTACGCAGAGAAGTAACTGCAGGGTGAGTGTGACCTCCCAGAGTAATCTTCTAGAGACAGCCGTCGGGAAAACAAGAACTGAGAACTCAAGGGAGAGTATGGCAGCCACGAATTCGGGAGGCTCTGGAGCAGCAGGGAGGTGGAGACGCCATTTTCTTGGAGGAGAAAAAGCTAGACTTTCTAAGAGTGCTGGAACAAATGGTGATAACAAGTCAGGTGAGCTGAGATGCCTGGAGCAGGAAGTCCCTGTGACTCACTGCTTAATAAGATGGCTGGGGTCTGTGGGGATGAGTAGAGGCCAGAGATATACAGATGTGTGGAAATCATTGCTTTAGGAACTGTAGTGTTTCCAACGGAACACCAGAGATCAGAATGCCTGGTAGGTACAACCTGAAGCTCATGCTGACAAGAGAAAGTGCTGACAGTATGTCTGGCAGGGAGATCTAGATTCAAAAGTGGGGAGGGCAGGGGGGGAGGGGGCTGTTCAAGCAGAAAAAGCACTCATGCGATGTCATTCCATGACAAATTTCCTAATTCAAAGTCGTCTTTAAAATAGCTTAAATTTAAAAATGGTTAAAATTATAACAATATCTTTTATTGTGTGTGTATATGTGTGTGTGTGTATGTGTATAGCAGGCACCAGAAAACAGAGAAATATTTATTATTTTCTGGAGTTTAAAATGGTCACAGTACATATTTGTGTTCATAGACACAAAATCTACCTTTGATTGTTTCCATTTAGTCAACGTATATGCACAGGCTTTGAGATCAGAGGTGTCCACAGCTGAAGAACAACAGGTGAAGAGGTCTGTGCACACACAGACTCACATCCCTAGTCCCTGAGATCTCAGAACCCTCTTTCACACTGCTTTGGTTATCAATCCCAACGAATTAGACAAGTTTCTCAGAGGACATGACATTTCGTTACAAGGTGAGTATCTCCTTTAGGGGGTCCATCTTAGCTTTGGAAGAGGCAGGTCATATATTTCCCAGCTTCTACCCTCTGATCATTCTACAGATAAGGTGAGGGCCGGGAGTTAGTGGAAGAAGCGCTCACCCCAAAGAAGGCCGGTGTTTCCATCATGTCAATGGGATTGTCTCCTTCCCCTGTTTCTAGTGTACTCTGATCACACCTGGCTTACCCTTCAGCTGAGACTCACCTTCATGGTCATGACCTTCTAAGTAAGACAGGTGAGCATTCTCCCATTGTGCTAGCTTCTCTCTTCCACATCTCATCAACACTGTACTTCCCATCGGTGGGTTTAAAATATTGTACGTGATCACCAGAGAATCCTCCTGTCTTTGCCAGTTCTACATCAATTACGCGCTCACTCAAAACAATTAAGTCCAGCTGGGTAGTGATAACCCACACCTTTAATCCCAGCACTCAGAGAGGCAGAGGCAGGGGTATCTCTGTGAGTTTGAGGGCAGCCTGGTCTACAGAGTGAGTCCCAGGACAGCCAGGGCTGTTAACAGAGAAACCCTGTCTTGAAAAAAATAAATAAATAAATAAATAATAAAAAGAAAAGAATTAAAGTCACAGAGCCCTTCACATGCCTTACTCTACAGTTAGATTACCAGGTCAGCCCTACTGAAATGAAATCCTCCAGCTGGGGCCTGTTAGATATCCTAAAGTCTAGGAGCACGGGCCAATGTGTGTTTGCTTCCTGAAAGTGTTTCTGCTCTCCCACAGGGCAAGGCAGAAGGGGGAACGGCTCCTCTGCCTGTGTCCCTGCTGTTAGTCAAAGTACAGACGTTCCTGTGGCTTTCAGGAGCAGGCTACCTGTCTTGTGCTCACAGGCCACCCACGCAGTGACAGAGCAGAACTGAGAACTGTGGCAGAGGCAGTGGCGCAGCCTGCCGCCTGCCGTCCTGTCAGCAGCCTGGAGCCCAGCACCCTGCACGTTCACGAGTCCTATTTTCTACCCTGATTCCTTTGAAGGCTGCAGCATCAACACAGACCAAATAATTTCACTCCACACCAGGAGGGTGCCTTCACCTAAGCTGAAGCAAGAAAGACATTTTTACTGCTTTGCCGTAGAATTGTCAGCACTCCCCCATCTGTGTGTGTCTATACGTACATATGCACTCACACATACATGCCTATGCTTTACTATCATCAGGAAAATTGAAGGCCACAATCCATGTAGAGTGCTCAGAACAAAACCAGTCCCTAAATCAGAAACGAACACTCGCTCTTTTCTTTGCTTTCTAGATTTATTCTCTTTCCTGGACTGTGCCCCGGGAGGCTTTTCTGTGTTGCCTTTTATGCTCTAATGTCTTCTGGCTCCTGGGTGGGCTTGAGCCATCAGGAGCTTCGTCAAATAGAAACTCAGAAGTTCGGGAGTCATTCTGCGATTCTCCTGGCTCTCACTGTACCGAGCCCTGATTAGCAATGACTAGGAATCTCTTCCTTCAGCTTTAGGTGTGGTCCACAGGCCTACCCTCCACCATGAGTGCTTCTACTGGGTTCCCACAGCCCTGCTTTCTCACCCTGCCACATACGGACTAAAGGAGTGCTTACGGTTAGAGCTGAATTTGCAGTGTTCACCTTAAAACTTGGTTCTTATAGCATCTCTTCAAATCCAAGCTGTTGCAATCGTTTCCCTCCAAGAAGCCAAAGGTAAAATGTTTTCCTGAACATTCACAGAGAATCTATCTGCTTCATCCTTGTCTTAGTTATGGTTCTATTGCTGTGAGGAGACACCATGACCAAGGATACTTACAAGTGAAAGCGTGTACTTGGGGGCTGGCTTACAGCTTCAGGGGGTGAGCCTATGACCATCATGGCAGGGAGCTGGACTGCAGGCAGGCAGGAGCAGCACTGGAGCAGCTGAGAACTTATAGCTTTTATCCACACGTTGTAGGCAGAGAAGTGTGGTGGGGAGACTGGTCCTGGGGTGGTCTTTTGAAACCTCAAAGCCCACCCAGTGACACAGCTCCTCCAACAAGGCATGTGCTCCTCATCCTTCGCCAAACAATCCACCAAGATCAAGCATTCAAACATATGAGCCTATGGGGTCATTCTTATTCAAACTACCACAGTCCTAACACTTTTGGTCAGTCTTTCCCACTAGGCCATGCTTCCTTGTGCCTGGAGACCTTCCCAAACCAAACACACTGTGCCTACCTGCCTGCTTGTTAGTGTGTCTGACTGTTATACACACTTCTACACCTGCTTTATTGAATGCCACTCCCTTAATTCTTCAAGAAACATGTCACCCCGACTTTACAAATAAGACCACTGATGCTTAAAGGGAAAATCTGTTCAAGGTCACCCAGCTAGGGGACAGAGTCCATTCTGAAGTGTTTTAGGACACAAAGCTTGGGCTCTCAAAACAAATCATCTCTAGATGATTGGGGATCATTCTAGAAACTCACGCTGCATCTTCCCAGCCCCCTGTCACAGACTCCTGCAGAACCTGGAAAATGAGAGCTATGATGAACTTCTCTTGTCTCTAAACAAAAAGTTTAGAATATATATAGATATGTAGAGAAATAGATATATAGATATATCTTCCCTCTGTCCCCAAGACAGTCCCTACCTTTAGCTTTGTCCTCAGGGAATTTTTCCTAACTTGCCTGACTCAGACAATCCATCGGCTTCCCCCTCTGCAGAAACCTCCCTCAGAGCCTTTATCACAATTGCAACTCTCTACCTATTTATTAAATCATGTGATAACATCTGATACCTTTCACTAGGCTATAAGTTCCAAGGAGGCCAATACTGTGTCTTTCAGGCTAGCGTACTGTTCCTAGGACACTGCTGACATTCAATGAATATCAGTTGTCCACAGGCCTGTGAGTCCATATGAACCCTTGATACCTTTAGGAGCAAGGAGTGAATTCTATCCGATGTCTACCAAGATGTGAAATTCAGAATCGGAAGTAACTCTGGAAGCAAGGACGTTCTGACTTACCATTCATTAACAAGTGAGTCCAGAGTATCTGAACAGATACTGCCCACTGAGCTAGACAGTACACCATTTGAAAGAGGGGTAGAATACTTTCTGTGCGCACAACTGTGTTCTCAGAACTTAATTCATAGCTTGGCACACTGACAATAGATGCTGGATCGATGTCTTCTTGCGTGGATGAGTCAACAGGCCAGTATAAGTGAAGGAAAGATGTGCTGTCCTCCTCTTTCCGCAATCCATACCTGCCCCCCCTCCTAGATGCTTTTAGGAGTCACTGAAGCAGGGTTGATATAATGTAGCCTTCTGGAAAAAATTATCAACAATGAAGCACACCATGTGGTGATATCAAAAATGAGACGGCTTCAGGGGAAACATTTCAGTTCATGGGGTGAAGACCACAAAGGGCCAAGCCCTGTTGGCCAGAACAGCCAGTGGCTTCATATAGAGAAAAACATCAACTAGACAGAAATGCAAACCCTACCTTTCAAAAAGTGTGCATGTGAGCATGTGCACGAGTAGACAGAGGCAACCGTACCTTACTTAGATGGTTTATATGTCAAAGTACCTCTTTTGCAAAGGCATGGTATTTCTGAAGGCTCATTTCAGCCAGACATCCAAAATTAGGTGGTTTATAATGCAAAAACCCTTCACAGCTAACACGGGCACTTTATCCTGATAAGTTCAGAAAACGAATTATAAATATGGTCTTAGAATTTTTCATTCGGGAGTTTGATTCACCAGAAGCGCCAGTTGTCCTTGCTGTCACTAGCATGGAGCATTCTGTGGCACTTACGTCATCGCAGCCAATAACACTGATGGCTTTAGAAGGTCTGGTGCAGTGAGCATAGATTAGATAGCATCGTCTCTGAATTGACGTTGATTTAGAAACTCAGAATATGACCTTATTTGGAATAACAGCCTCTGAGGAAATGTCATTTAGGTCACTGATCAGCATTCTTACACAGAGAGAGATGAAACACAGAGACACAAAGCAGAGTGTGGTAGGGAGTCTGAGGCAGGGATGGAGAGATAAGTCAAAGATTGCCAAGAGCGAGAAATACCAAGGAAAGAATTTTCCCTGGAGTCTCTGGTGGGAGAATAATCCCCATCCCCTAGGACATCACACTCATATCCTCCAGAATGGAAAAAAAGAGTCAATTTCAGTTGTTTTAAGCCAAGAGGTTTAAGCTCAAGAAAATTACTTCAGCTTGATACTAGAAGGTTCGACTGTATGGCAACACAGTTGGCAGACTGACCCTTGCCTACCTTCTCAGTCTCCCTCCACCACCTCTCCTGATTCTCCCACATCCGGCTGTGTCCCAGCTTCCTGAGCTGAGAAACTACACAACCTGACAAAGTGACGGACGGCAGGCTCTGGGCGAGGAGAGGACCACACTTCAAGGAGGGTAAAGGGTGGAAGGAAGTACACGAGTGGGCTCCGAAGACACTTGGAAAACGTCCCAGAAAATTCCAGACTTCCAGCGGACAGGCCTGCTGAGTGTGGCCTCGTGTTTCATCTCTGTTCTCACCGCCAGCCATGGGGGTTAGAAATCCCTAAGAGAATATTGACACTGTTCTTGCCGCAGACTTAGCTAGGTTAGCTAACGTCGCTGTGTTTCAGAGTTCCCCCTTTGTAAAATGGTGAAATCAGCCATTTCTACTTCATGCAATTGCTGTGAGAAATTAAATCAGCCAATATATGCAAACCGCTCCAAAGGGGACTTGCACATCATAAGTGACAAATAGTGTTAATGTCATTTTTACATAATACATAAAAAAACTAAGTTATGATATTAAATGAGGATGAGAATTCCCCCCAATGACTCTTCATCTATCTGGAACAACCTAACAATTTCATGAATATCTTACTTTAAAACGATTGGAATAAGAGAGAGAGAAAGAAGCACGTGCAAAAAGTTATTAGTGAAACAGGACCAGAAAGAGTCACTATTATTTTAACAGGTATTAGTTCAAAGCCCTTCTGTGAAATCCCAGTGATCATAGACAAAGAGAAAAAAAAGTTTCCAGTTTTCTTTCTACAAGGTCAAATGAACGGTTGACGTAATTCACTGATCAAATCTGTTGATAGCTGCCAAAACCTGGATATAACATGGGGTGCTGTTTGCATAGCTGTGTGTTCTACCCCCTACTGCCTTCCTCCTGCTGCTCACGATCGCATCCAGTCCTCCGAATGACCCAGGCCTCAGTACAGTAAGCTGGGTTACAGGTGGCATCTTGTGCTGGGAAATGCAATGGAGTTTCTGACCAGCAAGAGCTAGCATTGCTCCACGGTCAATCAGAAAGGAACCAAGCACTATAGCCATAGCAGATCCCCCAACCTCCTGGGATGAAGACGTTATGTAGGTGTCACTGATGACTGCAGGGGAAGACAGAATGGCCAGCATGGGAGGGTCTCTAGGGGCTGCAGTGGAAAGTCAGGATGGCTACAATGCCTTTGCAGGCTTCCCTTCATTGCAGGCTTTGTCTTGGTGCTTTGAGTCACTTCCCCAGATATCTGTCACATTGTGGGGGTTCACAAATGGGAGCCTGTTCCACCTTGACTAAAGGTCAGAGAATTTGAGCTTATTTTTACTCTTTCAAAGTTGTTGACAACAGGTGTGACTACAAACCAGAGATCCTGACCTAGGATGGGGTTGATTAGTATTGTGGGTATGGAGGTGGATCCGCTCCACCTGGACCAAAGGTCGGAGAATTCGAGACTATTTCTTACATCATATTAATGAAGTCTGTTTCCTCACTCCTCCCCTTTTGAGGTGAAGTATATAAGCATGTGAAAAATGAACACGGGTGGCTCAGGATCCACTGAATTTCCCTCCCGGTGCTGTTCTGCGCTTCTGCCCTTTATGTCTCTCATATCTCTGTTCCTCTTGCTTAATAACTCTAACCCTCATGTTCCTACCCTGGAATGTGTGAGCTCATTGAGGCTGGACCCTCACAGATGTTGTCCCAATGTGTGGCTTGCAACATCACATTGATGAGCAGTGTGACGGATAGGAACTTTTCTCTGGAAAGCATATTCTTAAAGTGTATCTGTAAGATTGGTTTTAACAAGGGAAAGTACCTCAAGTGCTAGGAAAAGAGCTCCTGTATCTCCTTGGTTCTATTTTTTCTGAGTAGGGTGATCTACAGGACCTGAATGCTTAGCCATCACTAATGTCTAAAGTGATTTAAACAATCAGCCCCCACTTCCCCAAAAAGTTGTAAGTCACCAAACGTCCCTGAGCTTGGTTTCTCGTGTGTTATCTAAGAGGACGGAATGAGATGGGAGGTCCTTCACACCTTTAACATTCATCAGTTCGGGGACTGAAATGTGTGTGTGCCAGTGTGAAGAGACGCGGGGAGAGGGCCAGATGTCCTGCTCTGTCACCCTCCTGGTCCCTGTTCCTTCCCTATGTGAGGCGGGCTTTCTATCTAGAACCAGGCTGGAAGTCACCAAGGCATAGCAGCCCTCTGTCTCTGTCTTCCATAGCACTGAGGAGTCACATGGTAGTCCAGGTCATTCTGGCTTTTCATTTAGCTTCCAGGGAACTGACAGTATATTCACAGCTTAGGAACCAGGAATTCTTTGATCAGGTCAGGGACCTTCCTTTCCCTCTCTATTTGGTCTAGAAAGTTTGAAAATTAATCATTGGGACTTCACACCAAATCCCCATTTTCAGTGTTATTTGATGTCTCAAGCAAGTAATAACTTTAATCTCAATTGTAAAAAGTGAGGCATTAATATCCAGTACTCAAGATTATTTTGTTAATTTTCTCTAAGTCTATTTTCTCTGTCCATCCAGAAAACATGGAGTCATAGGCTAGAAATCCTCCGTCTCCAGCCTCTTAGAAACCTACTCTGACAAGCAGGTATGTGGTGGAGTGAGAAGTGCAATTCTGGAGTTGGTAAGATCTGTCTTATCTGTCGTAGGTGAAATTATTGGAACTCTTAAGTTAGTGTTTATTTCATTGCAAAGTATTTGTACTAACAGCATCTATTTCATAGGCTGATTCTGAGAATA